ATTTGTGGGATCGTTATAAGTGGGTTTGACTGTAATTGTTTTGATAGTGTATACTCTGCCTTCCGTAATTTGTTTTTATATAGGGTTCCCTTCTTTTAACATGACGGAACAGGGACAATTCTTCTGTTGCGACTGGGGTGGCGTATAACCTTTTTCGATAAATTAATTGAAATAATTTGAAGTAATATACTTGATTTGCCTTTAAGATCTTGTATTTATCAAAAAGTGGTTCCGTCCGAAGTTCTCTTATTCTCCCCCCCTAGTTTTCGAATATACGTAGAACCTTTTTTTGTAGGATTAGTAATTTATAGTAATTGGATGCTGGAGTTTGCCCCATATAAGAATCCCTTAACACATTTTGGCAAAATATAAGGAGTAATACAATGTTTGTAGTAACCACCTTGGGGTGCTTAGTTTCATGCCCCATGACATCGTAGGAGTGTCGTGCCGTTGCCTGCTGCGGTCTTAACGGCGGCGCGGCAGCAGAATTGGAAGTAGCGGACGCCCGTTCTGCCGCCGTCACTCTGCGGCTTGGTGGCCCACGGAAGCTCTTTCGGCAGCCGGGAGTCAGCATGCGTCGGCTCATGCTTTTTGTTGAAACTCCCGAGTCCGACCTCCTGGGTTGCGACGTTTGACGGCACGACACACCGGGCCTGTGATGTTGTTGGTGATGGAAGTGCCACGCTGTTGCACCTATTTTCGCTACAAACAAGAGCCTGCTACGTCTTGCGTCAAGGCACCGTTTTTGCTAAGACACCTGCATGAGGTGGGCTTAAATAAAGCAAAACAATTTAAGGGGGGACGCGGGTCCTAAAAATGCAAAAAATCGCGAAAAAGTTCATTTTTCAGAAATCCTGTATTTGGGTGCCTTACATATCCAAGCACCTCTCTTCAAAATATTATAGCGTCATTCAAACTCAAAGTATAAAAAAAACGATAATTACGTCGCGCGGAACGCGCTAAAAATCTTCCCGAAAGAGGAAACTGATGTCAAAACGCGTGCCCTCCGCGCGCCGCCGGTGCGCACGCATTTGCGGCCATTTTGGTCTTGTTCGAAAGCTTGCTTCTTTGTCTACATTTTTGGCGCCATTAAAAATGGCGTCTGCCCGGGGAAAGCACAGAATACCGCGTTTCCCCAGAGAAAGAAACCGAGCTACCGATTGGCTAAGAAGCACGGGCCGCAGCGAGCGCTGTCGCTATTGGCCGAAGCGCATGCCTCCTCTCCTGAAATATGTCATTCTCCTCCCTCCTCTCCTTCCTCGCGGCGCGGAAGCAGTCGAGAGCAGCCGATATCGTTGTTTGTCGTCTGCTAGCGGTTGCGTTTTGAAACTTCAAGCACGTTATTTTTTGGCGTTCGCCTGCTTTGTTTAGCTCGACGTCTTTAGGAGACATCGGTAGTGATCGCGATGCCTAGCGTGAAGCTTTCAACGCAGCGTGCGTACGGCAAACGGAAGCGTCGGGCGTAGAACAAGGACTTCGCTCGCATCGCCAGTTGCGTTGCTTGCGGCGGACATGCGGCAAGGTGTCAGGAGATGCATCGTCTTCCGAGGTGCCCGCCCCTGATGTGAGCAACGAAGAAGACGACGGCTCTGACCCTGGTGCGTCACGACTCGACTCGCATTTCTACACGGCAAGCGAAACTGCTCAACGTGCGGCGGGGGCTGACGAGATGAAGGAGGATTTGACCGCGAAGAAGTCTGCCACACAACGGAAGTTTGACCTCCTCAATGTCTCTGTCGAGGATAAAGAGACAGATTTCGGCACGCAATTCGTGATCGTGGATTTGAACGGGCTGAACGTGTTCTTCGCGACCGCCAAATGTGAGCAGTGCGGAATGGCCGCGCCCATTCACAAGCCGGTGCTTTGAAAACGTCCCCACGTCCCCTAAAAAAGCCCTTCTGAGGGCTAACCAATTGTTGCATATGGGTCTGCTTTCCCTACCCGTGTCTCTCCCTTAGTATGAAGTCCAAACCAAAGGCATTCCACCCATCTAAAGCTTCAATGTTGTTAGTTATGCATACCCAAATTTCAAAGTCGATTTTCTCAGCTTCGTTTTTTTCAGCTTCTTCTCCGGCCAGGAAGGCTTTTTGATTCACTTGCGCTCAACCGATTTTCATAAACTTGGTACCATATTCTTTGGAATGAACTAGACTGCAAGCTAAAGCTATTTTTATTATGATATTTTGTGGTATATAAAACTGGCATTTCATTATTAGACATTGTTATAGCCCCTATTGTATGTCTTCTATTCACTTTAATTCTTTTACGTGTTTATATGGTGCTAAAGAAATAAAAATAGCTTTAGCTTGTATGGCATTTCTTTAGGAAGCAATTAATACCTTTTTTTCTTTAAAATTTTAAGAAGAAGGTTATTAAAACTTTTCTTTAAATTAGCTAATTAATATTTTATTTTGTTGATAACTTTTGACAAAGAAGAGATATCTGAAATCTGATTGCAGTTATGAAATCAGCACAATAAACTACATGCCTGCACACAAAATCATCGAGATAGACCAATAAACAAAAAATAGTTTTTAGGAACCCACTTCCTCCCTTAAATCTTTTATTATCGGTTGATCTTAGTACGAGAATGAAGTAGGAGGAGACGAAAACGACGCAAATGTCTGTTTTACAGCATCTACCCACTGTATAGTTTGTTTCATCCGAGGTCAGAGCACAGTTGCAAGCTCAAACATATACTGTCGTAAATATACATGCTAAAAGTGCATGTCTAGGGGCATTCTCTGCACTCGGTTGGTTTAGCCGATGAATGCCACCATGTTGTGCTTTTGATGCTGTTCGATTTGTCCCTTTGGCTCGTTGCGTGGCCTGCACTTCGACTTGAGATAAAACAAAGTATAGAGATCACCTGTAAACCTCGCTGGCCCCGTCATCTCCTGAATTTCCAGATAATGTGGGCGATGTCAAAAGCTGAGAGTCGCAAGAAATATTTGGAAACATAGGGTATCGCTAAACCTTTGTGATGCAGTTAGGCAACGCAGTTGCCTAGCAATCTGCCACAAAATGTTCGTGTCTCTTCCGACACGAGTTCCTTGTTTACCTCGCAAAAAATGTTTGGCATGGCAACCCTGAAAAATCTCTTGTTGAATGTATTGGCGAATGGGACTGCCTATAGTCCATTGCAACTCAAGAAGGTAAGGCGAGGGAAAGGAAGCCCGGGAGGAGAAAGCAGACGGAATGCTGGAGCGGAGAGAAGGAAAAATCCTCCTCTCTTTAGCTTAGAGGCTTAGAGCGTAGCCAGCGCTTAGTCGTGTGTTCCTTGTGTTTGTGTCAGCTTAGAAGTTGCCACTGCAAAAACACGCCGCGTTTACATGATGCTGGATTCAAAAGAAAAGTGATATTGTGTGCAGAGAGCGATGGAAATCGGGCCACATCATGTGCGTTTAGTGTTCCAGAAACTTGCGTGCGGGACTTGCGCAAGCAGAAAGAAAGGATTTTGACCAGCAAGTCGGTGCGGAAGGGATTCAGTGGACCGAAGAAGGGCCGATTCCTCGAAATAGAAGACCAGCTTGCAGAATATGTATAACAGCAGCGAGCGGCAGAGAGACCCGTGACGACAGCTGCTCAAAATTCGGGCGATGCAGTTAGCGTTACAACAAAGGCTAACATGGAGAGACTTTAAAGCCAGCAGGAGCTGGGTGACGAACTTCATGAAAAGAAAAGGCTTTTCACTTTGACGACGGACAGGCATATGCCAGAAATTGCCTGTGGAGTTTGAAGAAAAGCTGCACGCTTTTCAGCGGTACGTTTTGAGTTTGCGCCGCGAGAACCACTAGCAGCTCGGGCAAATCGGAAATGCCGACCACACGCCACTATACTTCGATATGCCTGCCACCCCAACCATGGAAAAGAAGAGAGCAAAGGAAGTTTGCTATGCTTTGCTGGACTGCTATGCTTTGCTCGACTGCGGACGGGCACAAACTGCCTCCCTATCTTATCTTCAAACGCAAGATGCTTCCAAAAGGAGTTCTGTTCCCTAGCGGAATGATCGTGCAGGCAAATGAGAAGGGGTGGATGACCACGGACTTGGTTGCAGATTGGATTGACCACATGTGGCGGAGGAGACCCAGAGCAAGCTTAGGCCTGCGCGCGATGCTTGTTCTAGACGCGTTCAGGTGCCACCTCGGCGAGCACATCAAGAACAAGCTTAGCGCATGCCACACCGACCTTGTCGTGATTCCCGGCTGCATGACATCGCAGTTGCAGTCGCTGGATGTTTCTCTTAACAGGCCGGTGAAAGACTGGATTCGGGCGCACTACACTGAGTGGCTTGTTGATGGCTGCCACAAATTCACGCCCAGCAATAGGATAAAGCGTGCCTCGCTGCAGGACTTCACCGGATGGCCGAAAGATGTGTGGTGCACGAGCCTGTCTGCCTTTGGTTATCAAGGCCTTCAAGAAGTGCGGAATTTCTAACGCTATGGACGGCACCGAAGATGAAATGCTTTGGACCGTTGTCAGCGACAAGGAGTCGTCCGACAGCGATGACGGGTGATGCATACCGCCCTACGGGCGCTGCCCTGGACTGGCGTTGTGACGACGACCTTGCCGACGAGAAACAGCGCCGTTCATTTCATCGCAAGATTGAAGCATTTGAAATAAACCTTCGTTGTTCCAAGTAAGAAAAAGTTTCATTTCTGAATCCGACCTACAAAATCTGGTGCGCGTAACAACCAAAGTCATCGCAAGGTTTTTTTTTTTTTGTTTTCAAAAAATGGTGCACGTTACAATCGAGGGCGTATTAGATTCGAGTAAATACGGTAAGTGACTGTAATTCTAAAAGGCATATCAACCTGCCTTGTCCTCACGGCTGGCAGTCTGTTAAAATAAATCAATAAATAAAGTACAGTTTCACGGCCACTGTTCATTTGTCAAAAAAGAAACTGCTTTTTCAGCCACTGGACGGCACTGAATTTTGAAAATGGTCTACTTAAGTGACTCTCTGAAAGCGTCCGTCCCCCTCGCTGCCGCCGCTGCAGGTCAGAGCGGCCACGTGATCCTGCCCTGCTACCCGCCGCTGTCCAAGATCTCCGGCAAGATGGCAGTGTACGTGATGCATGTGGATGACTTGTGCTGCTTCTACGCCATGCGCATGGATCAGGAGCAGGCCCTGGACGAGCTGTCCGCACGCCTGCAGGAGCGCTACGCCACGGGCCAGGACCCCAGGGTCCAGCTGGTGCCTAAGCTTCCTTGCGTCGCCCTCTACTCGCAGGTGAGTGGCTCATTTCGGGGCACGGGCTCTGCCATAAAGTTCCCACTTTGAACTGGAGCCACTGTCTGCCTCTTTGTTTGTTTGGCAACAAATGCAGTGGCACCACTATCAACTAACCTTGACACACTTTTTTTTTTTTTTTAGACGGGGTTGGTTTTTTGTATTCTCAGGATGTGGGTTTGAATACCGCCAAGGTGCTGCAATCTGACAGGCTCAATATTGAGAAGGCGCTATGTAACCAAGATTTCTGTTGCGCGTCAAAAGGATCTGCGGGTGGTCGAAATTAGTCCCAAATTAGACTTCCTTCGCGCATCATTCTTTCACGACAACAGCAAATTACATTGGACGGTGCTACAGACGATAATTTTAAAAAGGCTGTGCAAAGATCCGAAAGAAACTCACCGTTTAGTTAAAATCTGGAAGGTGTGTAAGAGCTATTTTCATGCCGGTGCCTCTACGAGGTGTTTCCGACGTAATGAAAAGGACAGGTAAGTGTTTCAGTTGTCCCGCCTCCAGCGCGAGCTTTTTACCGTTTGCAACGCTCCAGCACCTCGGGAACCTTTTGTCCTCTTGTTTTCAGTCTGTCGTTATTATAGAAACACGTGTTTGTGTGCCTGCAGCTTGTGGGCGCAGTCATTTCGGTGGAGCCTTTCCTGACTCCGTCTGCGACAGTTTCGGTGCAGAAATGCAATTTGGCTAGCATAGACGATCACGGCGTCGGCATGCTTTCTTTAGGTCGGGAGACACCACCTGCACATTTAGAACATGTGCCAGAAGTGAACCAGCGCCGGCGTCTGCCAGATTTTATGACGGGAGGATGTTGAGCGAAAACGAGGCCTGTAGACCATTTCCAAAAGCTCCTTTCGCAAGCTGCCGTTTTTGTCCACTTGGCCGTGGGCAGAGGTCGGCATTTTAGGTCGCCCTCCCTCACCCTCACCCTCACAGCCACACTCACCTAAGCCCCTCACTCACCCTCACCCTCACAGCTACACTCACCTTGAGCCCCTCACTCACCCTCACAGTCACACTCACCTTCAGCCCTTCACTCACCCTCACTGAACCTCACGGCCCTCACGCCCCTCACCGCCCTCACAGCCCTCACGCCCTCACTCACTCATGGGCCTCACGAAACTCACCGCCCTCACGCCACTCACCGCCCTCACGGCCCTCACCGCCCTCCACGGCCCTCACGGCCCTCACCGCCCTCACGGCCCTCAGGCCACTCACCGCCCTCACGGCCCTCACCGCCCTCACGGCCCTCACCGCCCTCACGGCCCTCATGCCACTCACCGCCCTCACGGCCCTCACGCCACTCACCGCCCTCGAGCCACTCACCGCCCATTAACAATACTAATGCACCTTTCTGAAACAGTTTATTTAAAAAAAACGATCGATTTCAAACCAGAACCGTCTTTCGGTGTCGTCATCACCGGCACGAAGTATCACGTGAAAATTTTGCGTCCCTGATTGGATGCAGCCGCTTCAAACGTATTCGAATTGCTCCGAGTTGCTTGCTTATTTCGAGCCGGACCCGATCTCAGCAATTCGTGTCGATCTAGGGAAAGCTAGAGAACAACCCGTCATTAACACCAAAATTGCTGAGAAAGATGCTCGATCTGAAGGGGGCCTCACGCACTCACCGCCCTCACGGCCCTCGCACCACCTCATGCACTCACCGCCCTCACGGCCCTCACGCCTCTCATGCCACTCACTGCTCTCACGCACTCATGGCCCTCATACCCCTCACGCACTCACCACCCTCACACCACTCACGCGCTCATGGCCCTCACGCCACTCACCGCCCTCACGCCCCTCACGCACTCATGGCCCTCATACCCCTCACCGCCCTCATGGCCCTCGCGGCCCTCACGGCCCTCATGGCCCTCACTGCCCTCACCGCCCTCACCGCCCTCACCGCCCTCACCGCCCTCACAGCCCTCACAGCCCTCACAGCCCTCACCGCCCTCACCGCCATCACAGCCCTCACGGCCCTCACTCACCCTCACACTCATGAATTTTCCTGGTTCAGAAACTCACTCACCCTCACGTCACCTGTGAGGATGAGGGTGAGTGAGGGTGAGTGAGGGCCCTCATGAGTGAGGTTTGCCGAGGTATGGCCGTGGGACATGTTCAAGCTCTGCAAAATACGAGGTGCTGTGCTTCCGTCGACGGCCCAGAACTCTGCATTCTTCGCGGCAGCGACGAGCACCAGACTGGTGTATATTGGGGCTATGCTGCGGCAAAGGATGGTTAAATGCGTTTGTTGTTTGGCTTCTTCATTGAAGTCCGGTTCTCTCAAGCGAGGTTTTTTCGTGGTCACGGATTCCCACGTACTGTGTTAACGTGCCTTCAGTTTGTTCACTGTCGTCATCTGCTTTACAGGACAACCTTTGGTATCGCGCCAAGGTGCTGAACGACTCGCGCGTCCAGTTCGTGGACTACGGCAACGCCGACGAGGTGGAGGAAGTGCGCGAGATTGGCCCCGAGTTCCTGGACGTGCCCCCGTTCTGCTACAAGTGCAAGCTGGACGGCGGCCGAGAGATCGGCACGAACCCGGCGGCTGTCAAGGAGTTCCAAGAGCTCGTCCTCGACGCGGAGCTTGAACTCGAAGTCGTCACGTGGGGTCCTGAAGTGACGGTCCGGATGTCCAAGGGAGGCCAGGACGTGGGTGCGCTTGTGAAGGCCAAGCTCGCGGGAAGCGAGGATGCCGCCGAAGACACACCTTCGGAAGACGCCGCCCTTTGCGTGTTGCCTGCCGCAAAGGTTGTGGAAGGCTACGTCAGCCATGTGGACCGGCTCGACTCGTTCTACGTGATCACGACAGAGCGGGACGACACGCTCACGGAGTTGTCGGAGAGCCTGCAGGAGAGGCTGGGTGCAGGCGAGGCAGCCCCGCTGGAGGGCCCCGCCCCCGGGCACCTGTGCGCGGCGCTCTACGCGGCGGACGAGCGGTGGTATCGCGCCCGAATCGAGGGGATCGGCGAGGAGGGGACGCTGAGCGCGCGGTTCATTGACTACGGCAATGCGGAGACGGTGGACTCTGTGGTTGCGCTCACAGACGCGGAGGCGGCGCCGGAGCCATTCTGCTTTGAGTGTCGGCTGAGCGGCGTCTCCGCATTGGACGGGGACCTCCTGGACAAATTCAAGGAGGCGACTGAGGATGCGACGCTACGGGTGGAGGTGCTGGAGGAGGGCCCGCCAGCGACGGTGAGGCTTGTCGACGCGGACGGCAACGACATTGCAGAGCTGCTGGGGGTGAAAGTGCCAGAGGAGCCCGCCGTAGTCGAGAAGTCTGAAGGGGCGGAGTCAATCGGACAGGCGGACGCACCGAAGAAAACATACGGCTCCATTTCGGTTCCGCTGAACCAGAAACTTCACGTCGAGATCTGTCACTCCGAGGGTCCCACCGATTTCTATGTCCAGCTGAAGGACCGTCGCACCGAGCTGGAGTTCGTCGCGACCACCCTACAGGGTGTGTCCGGCGACGGGAAGGTCTTTGAGGCGAGCGAAGGTGCGCCTTGCGTCGCGCATTACGACGACGGGGTTTACTGTCGGGCAACCGTGACAAGCGTGGACGCTGCGGGAGCGCGGGTCTTCTACGTCGACTATGGCAACTCCGAGTCCGTAGAGCTCAAGGAAATCCTCTCGCCGGTGGAGGCATTGTTCGAGGTTCCGGCGCTTGCAATACGCTGCACGTTGAATATCGTGGAGGCGGACTGCGTCATGGAGGCGACGGAGAAGTTTCAGGCGCTGGTGGACGACGAGTCACGTGTGCTGCTCGCCGAGTTCCTCGGGGAACGTGACGGTCGGCACGTGGTCCGCTTGCTTGACATGGGCATCGACGTCCTCGGCAATCGTGCCACCGGCGACTCCACCCTGGAAGTGACCGCCGAAGAGAGCCCAGTCGTGAAGGAGCCCACAAAGAACTTGGAGACCTCCTCACCTAGCGACGACGCCTCACGTCTGAGCGAGACGGAAGAGCTGCCTAGCAGTATTCGAGAGGACGGCGAAGAGGCAGAGTCTATGGAGAATTTTGAGACTTCGACTCCGAAGGACGTTGCCCCGCCGTTGAGCAAGCCCGAAGAACTGCTGAGCAGCATCGAAGTTGAAGATGTAGAGGCTGATGTCGTTCCGCTGCCGGAAGCACCCGAGGACTCGAAGGATGAGGGAGTGGAGTCTGATGGTGAGGTAGCCGCAGACGAACCGCAAGTTCTGGTGGCCACTGCTGAAGAGCTGGATGGATCTTGTGCGGCAGAAACTGATCTGAAGACAGTTCCAGAACCGGAGACTGACACATGTGTAGGCACGGACACAGATGCGTCTGCGGAACCGAATGTACATGCAGCTGCAGAACCGGTCGCTTGTGTGGTGGCAAGGGAAAAGGGCATGGTGGATCTTCCGAACGTCGAGGACGAACAGTTGGAGTCCGAATCTTCTGCCACAGCAGACGAAGCGGTGAAGGACCAGAAGCCAACGGAACACGAGGTCACCGAGAATTCTCAAGAACAGTTGGAGTCCGAATCTTCTGCCGCAGCAGACGAGGCGGTGAAGGACCAGAAGCCAACAGAAGACAAGGCCACCGAGAATTCTCAAGAAGACGTCCAAACAGCCGAAATTAAGGAACAGGGAGAGTTGGAAAAGGTGCTGGACGAACCACAAGTTGAAGTCGTTGCCAAAGAAGCTGAAGTAGACATCAAGCCCCCAAAAGAACCAGCGGACGACACCGAGGACGCAAGTCCAGAGGTGTCTGCGGTCAAACAGAACGACGCAAGGATTCCTGAGGTTTCCGGAGACGAAGCAGATGGTGCGGAAGACAAGGAAGAGGCCGCCGAAGTGCGGGAGGTCGTCGACAAAGTTTGTGCCGCAGGCGCAGACACACCGGCAGCTGAGGTCGGAGGCTCGGGTGATACGCCAACCACCAACGGTGCCGTGGGCAGACTGACACCGTCACCACCACCGAGTACCACACACCGCAAGAAGAGCCTGGACGACTGTATTGTCCCAGGTGTCTGCACCAACGCCGAACTTGTGGAAGCACCCAGCGCGAGCGGCCAATGAGAGCCTGCATCTCTGCTCCAGCTGTGACTTGATTGGCTCGGGGAGTGGGAAGGACGTGGCGGAATGGTGTTTGGCGCGGTTCTGTAGTTACTCCTGGAAGTGCCTTGTGGTAACGTGCAACGCTTTCTATCGTTTGTTGTTTTATGTGTTCTGTTGCCTAATTTTTGTTTTGTTTTTCTTCAATTTTTTTTTCTTCATTGATGATTCTTATATTCTTTATGCCTGTGGTAATTTTTATTGCTGTGGCTAGTGCTCCGACTTAAAGTGATAATGGAGTTGCCTGTTTTTTGTATGTCTGTGTTCAATATTCTATATACTTTCACAGGTTCATTTTGGAAGCCATACCGCAGAACGTCTGGGTCTTATAACTAGGCTGTTATTCAATTTTGTACCTGGTGTCGAATAAATGATACTATGTTGGTTGCAAGAATAAAATGTATTTTCTCAGTGTGTACCACTGAACTTAGGTCAGAGTTTGGTTTGTTGTGTTGCTATCTAGTGGAATACACAAATTTTTATTTGTGAGGCAGACTCTCTTTTTTTAAAGACTCTGCAAATAAATGATTTTACTGGGACAGTGTTATTGACCATGGCAGACATTAGGTAGAGTGATGGCAAATTAATTCTCTAAAATCCCTTGCATGTACTCCTCTGCTCACGCATTCGATTTTGCACGGGGCATGGAGCAAAAGGGGAGCGCGGACTATCTCCAACTTTGCTTTCGGGAAAAGTGTTTGTGGGGTAAAAAATGCTCAAACAAATATAATGGCAATAATTCCTCCTTCGTGTTTATTTGATGGGATGTGGAACTTAATATCAGTTATATATAGAGTGGATATTTCGAAACATTTGTTGGGTGAAGGATGGCAATTTCAAGGCAAAGTATAACCAACTATCCTCACTGAAATACACAGTTCAAACTAAAGCAACGTAATGAAACGAACACATGGTGATAATAATATATATAAAACAATGTCAGTAAAGTAATATTAAAACAATTTCACTGCAAGCAACTGGTGGTGCTGTGCTCACGCACATCTTGAGTACTGATCAGAATCAGTTGCTTAGTTGCCACTCAGGAATTGAAATGATTCTGGAATCATTCCGCACTTTCGCGATCCTGGAATGGAATTAGAAGCTCTTTGCTCGGAATGGAATGGAATGGGCTCGATTCTTGTCAGCTGTGTTGATTTTCATTTAGGACCCATGGGCTAATGGTGCAATTCGTTAGGCCATGGTAAGTGGCTTTTGAAGCCCCATCATTGCACTGAAGGTGTCTGATGGCTTGATTGTCTCACTTGCGCTGCCGAGGATGAAAGTGGCGCGCCGTCAGTGAAGCAACCAAGACTGGTTTTAGACGGACAACGTGCCTCTCCTCGCGCCGCGAAACTCGACGAAGCGGCTGTTGTAATCATGCGCGATTAGCGTGTACAGTCGAACCTATTTATAACGAACAGCAGGAAACTACGATCAGTTCGATATGGGAAGTAATTCGATATAGCAAAAAGCATTTACAACGAACTTCCACAATGTGTTCGTTGCAAGCAGTTCTTTTAGCTTGCCTCCCCTTCTGAATCGCTTCTCTTCGTGGTAACTGTTTTAGGATGAAAAGCTTTTTGCTTTTTTTGTGCGTGAGTGCAGTGTATTTTTTAGCATTCTCCCCTTCTGAATCGCTTATCTTCGCTCAATTTTGTTTGCAACTTGAGCTTTTGGAATTTTTCTTTCCTGCCTTGTTTGGGGGGGAAGGGACAGGCTAGAAGACGATTGTTTGCACGCTTTTGGAAGCCTTCCCTGGGGGGAAAAGTTCGATGTAGCCAATATTTTCGTTATAAAAAGTATGTTTAACATGCATTTTTTAAATTTACCGCGAGTTCGATATCGACAATAATTCGCTGTTGGTCGGTTCGTTCTAAACCGGTTTCACTGTACCTGTTAAAGGGGTGTCCAAACTGGATACCACAAAACGCAAGACTCCGACAAATCGTGCGGCGCTCCGCTTCCGGCTGTTCTTTCGGGGGTGGAAACTTCGCCCCGTCAAATCGCGAGGGGGGAGGTTTGACAGGGTGGAAGTTTCCTCCCGCGATAATAAAACCGCCGGAAGCGGAGTGCCGCACGATTTGTCGGAGTCTTGCGTTTTGTAGTATCCTGTTTGGACACCCCTTAACCAGGGTGTCAAACCGAACCAAAAACCGGAGCAAAGACGTTATTTTAATTGCAACAGAACAAGACTAACGGAAATCAGACATTTGATATTAGCAGAAGCTCTGGGACCGGGGGAAGGGAGGGAGAGGCAGGGCAGTGCAGTGGGAACATGCCTTACACTCAAAGCTGTTCCGCGTTAGGATTTGAAATAGCCAACCGCCAAATTTCGACGCCAAATGCATAACAAAGTAGTCCAACCTGGCACCATTTGTCAGAGAGATCTGGGGTCACGTTGGGCACAATAGGGAGTTTTAGTAGATCGTTTTCAAAGGCCCGCTACCGCTACGAGCGCGCGCTTCAGAGCATGCATTGAAGTGGTAGCGCGAGCTCCCGCTACGATTAGCGTGCCCTGAAAACACGATCTACTAAAACTCTCTAATGTCGTTTAAACTTTTTATGACAGCTTTACCAATATTCCAACGTGCCCCCTCCTAGTACTTATAACCTCCTTGCCTAGTTGTGTTTAAAAAGAAAAAGGATAAATATTGCCATTTCTGGCATCCCTCAACTCTCTTCCAGCCCTCAGTGTCACACCTGGTCCCCCTTCTAGTGACGTAATTCGGGGTGCCGTGTAGGTTCCCGTGTGCTCTCTCGGAGGACGCTTCCTCTTCCTCTCTCTGCAGTCATTAGCGGGCGTTATGGTGCAGCTTAGAGCCGACCGAGGTCACGTAAGCTTTTCGCCGTAGTTCCTTCGGCTGCCGCTTGCGGCTGCGGGTGGGGGAAAAAGCTAAACTTTTGCGATCATGCGGCGGAATCGCTACATTTCTTTTTTTTATGAAGGAGATGTTTTCTGTATCCTCCGGGTCACGATAACAACATAAAAATGACGAGATGCAAATTATTTTAATCTTAAAATCGTTGCACCCCCCCCCTTTTTTAATTTATAATTTTCTGCACTGCGCTTCGTCAGTAGTCATTGATATGCAGGGTTGCAATACGTTGCTTTTTTTTATTGTAATTTTAATATTGGGGGGGGGGGGGGTGTTTAAGGTCATGGTTTCAATTAGAAAATTGCTCAGCATCATCGAAAAACACTAAATCAACAAATTGCAGAACGATAGAAGGCACACGCAGCACCTTACGGCTTTCTGAAAAACCGCACAAATTCGACGGCTTTTTTAAGTTTCGGTTCGCCATCGGAGCGCAACTCGGCCACGACGGAGCTGTAAAATGCTGCGTGTGCCCTCTATCGTTGTGCAATTTGTTGATTTTGTGTTTTTTGATAATGCTGACTAATTTTCTAACTGAAAAAAAAAAAATGTGAGATAACAATGCTGCTAAAACCCATTGTATGTTCCTATAATCCTGCTATTTTTGTATTGAAAATGGCGCGATAGTTTCGTGGATAAATCGATTTATGTGCGGATCATTCGGAGGGGCCGACCGGGCGGAGCTGAAGGCTGGCTACGTAGCCAGCCTCCCGCGCGGTGTCGCCTTGCACGCACTCGCACTAGAGTTCCTGTATAGCTACCTACGGTAGCAGAGTTGCGCATTCAGCCTCGGCGCGTGGCCGTAGCGCCGGCTTTCCCGTACGAGCTGGATGCTTTGCTCCTCACGTGACTAAATTTGGCGAATAGCGGCGCCGCGCGCGCCGCCGCTCATGGAAAACAGGAGAGGAGGAAAGGGAGGCGGAAAGCAGGGAAACATACGCCGGGGCAAGAGAAACGTCGGCGGAGCGACCGTAAAGGTGGTTTTCTTGCACGCCACCGGATGCTTTGCTCCTCACGTGATGGATCTCGGCGAACAGCGGCGTGGCGGCGCGGGGAAAACAAATGCGCAACTCTGGCTCCCGTAGGGAGCCTATACAGGAACTCTAACTCACACACTTGACTCTCTTGGCGTCTCGAGCTTCAGCTTCCTCGTTTACCTTCCGCGTTTTGAGCATCCGGTCCGTGACGATTACGTCTACGGCATCACTCACCTTGTCAAAGTGTTCGACATTGATCGCAGCAGCGATGAGAGTGATTGTTATCAAGAGATGTTGGAGGCTGTTCATTTTGACTGCGACCCGCTGGCGACCAGCTCCAGCGACGGCGAGTTAAAGGGGCGGTGCAACGATTTTATGATTAAAAAAATTTGCATCTCGTCATTTTTACGTTGTTTATCGTGTCCCAGAGGATAGAGAAAACACCTCCTTCATTAAAAAGGTCGCGATTCCGTTGCGCAATCGCGAAGAAAAAGTCGAGCTTTTTCCCCCACCTCCAGCCCCAAGCGGCAGCCGAAGGAACTACGGCGGAAAGATTACGTGGCCTCGCTCGGCTCTAAGCTGCAGCATAGCGCCCGCTATTGTACGCAGAGAGAGGGAGGGGAAGCGTCCTCCGAGATTGCACACGGGAAGCTACACGGCACTCCGAATGACGTCACTGGGAGTGCGACCAGGTGTGACCCTGAAGACTGGGAGTGAGTTGAGGGGTGCCCGAAATGCCAATCTTTATCTTTTTTTTACGCAACAACTAGGACACGCAGGCGAAATCGGTTTTCTGTTCTTTACTTCAGAAATGTCAGGGGGCAACTTCCAGGAATCTTTGACCGAAGTCCGAAAATCATTGCACCGCCCCTTTAAGAGGGGGCGCACCTCAGAGCCCCATAGAGAATACATGAGGTTTTTCACCAAATTAAAAAAATTCTCACATAATAACGGCTGCGCGGATCTTCTTGAAAATTTCGGCTTTAAAGACATTGAGTCATTATTGAGACACTAAGCGCAACAAATGTTTCATCATAAATTTAATTATATTCTTTAAAAAATCATGAAAATGGTCAAAATCGGCTAATTCGGCACTCTTGCGTTCGGAGCGAATGTACAAAATTATCTAAATTCAAACATAAGAAGTATTGCGCTTAATGTCTTCCAAATTTATTACGGAATCGAATAATATTCAACTTATTCATGTAAGTCGATTTGTTCCGTAACTACAGCAAATATAAAGAACCAAGGTGTCGGTGCTTGTTTTCGTCGTTTTTAAGGTACCTCTCTCTCCCGTGCGGTGGCGCTCGCTGTCCACGAAATGCGAAATCGTCCGTTCGGAGATCGGCCGGATCGGCACTGTGCGAGGTGTTCTTCCGCGGCCGTATTCCGCGCCCGTATCTTGTTTCATTCTGCACGCCGAGGCGTCAGTGTGCGTGTCTTGCTTTCCTGGTTCTCGCTGGGTAGGTCTCCGTGTTTTCGCAAGTGGCAAATTCACCTTGGAGCTATGGGTCGAAGACAACCGTCCTGTGGCAAGCGGACCGCGAGGTGTTCCACAACCTCGCGGTCCGTCAACGCGTTG